CGGCGGCGGAGCCACAGGAGATGTTTCGCAAACCCCGTCCCTCCCAAGAGGGCGACGGGCGCTGGAGCGCGGATGAACGAAGCCGGCGTCTTCCCGAGACGCTGCCCGGGACACCGGCCCTTCCCGGCGCTCCGGGAAACGCGGGCTCCTGCCAGAGCCACCACCGTGTTCTCACTCAGCTGCCAGACGGCGATTTGAATCTGTGCACTTAGTAAATACCTACATCACCAGCCCGGGTTTCAGCCGCTTCCACTGCTCCTGCAGCCCGTGAGCACAATCAGGGCACGCTGGAGAGCAGACCTGCTTCAGAACCCAGATTTGGGGGTGACAGGCTGCACCTACGATGGCAAAGCCCTTATTCTGGCCAAGGAGGAATCAGCTGCCAGACGGCGATTTGAATCTGTGCACTTAGTAAATACCTACATCACCAGCCCGGGTTTCAGCCGCTTCCACTGCTCCTGCAGCCCGTGAGCACAATCAGGGCACGCTGGAGAGCAGACCTGCTTCAGAACCCAGATTTGGGGGTGACAGGCTGCACCTACGATGGCAAAGCCCTTATTCTGGCCAAGGAGGAAGGCTACTCCCACACCCTTGCACAGGGTCTGCTTGAAACCACTAGTCAAGACATATATCACAGAGGGCTCGTATTCAGGCCTGGTGCTGGGGAACCCAAAATACTGTGTCCAGAGCCCAGAAAGCAAAGACTCAAAGCATGACTTAGCTGATGCATTCCTTCCAGAGGCAAAAACTGGCATGCCTATTGCTCTGTGGCCAGTGACTCTCCTGCCTGTCAGCAAAGCCCTGACTGCTGCTACCACACACCAAAGTCCTCAGGGATTCTAAGGCCAGAGACCTCATTACCACCTCCTAAATCCTCTGTGTCTACAAGTGAACCCAGCCCAGGCACGCATGTCATTTGGCACTGTCAACCTTGATGCATGATGACATAATGACTTTTTTTTAAAAAGGCAAAAAAAGCTCAAGATCCTATACCTCTTCATGCTGCAAGTTTTGCCTGTAATAAAGCTATACGAGAAAGAAAATTACAAGTCACGTGTTCCTTTGGAACACAGTGGCACATCCCTGTAGCCAGAGTCATAACTTTCAATTCTCCCCAACAATGAGTTTCTGTGAACTCACAGCCCAACAGAAAGCAATTACAGACAGTTTCATTATGGCTTTCAGTTGATTATCCAAATTATAGCTGAGAGCAGAGGGCAGCCTTTTTATTATCATAATTGCTGTACAATTAGAAAATGCTGATGAAGCTCTACAAGAGCAGAAATTCTCTCTTCTTGCTGATATTTTGTCATTTTTATAAGCATTCCCTTGGGCAATATCTTGGTTTGATTTGACACACAAGAGGGAACTAGTATATAGGTGGGAAGGGAGAAAATAAGAAGAGGAAAGAAAATGGGGCAGCTCTTCATTTCAGTCAATCTATCAAAACTCTTGTAGCCTGCTTCAGGTTTTGCCACTCCTCCAGATGTATCTAATTTCTAGAGCCTGGCTGTAAATAATGCTGCATTTGCTACACTGGGGACACACAAAATCCAATTAAGGGCCAGGTTTTTTATGAATACGTAGCAGAACAACCAGAACAGGATTAAAAATGGTGTAAGTGCAAGTACAGTTGGTAGGCTTGTTATTAATCTCTACAGTACAGCAAGAGAACACAGTGCTTTACTTGCATCCAGCACTATTAGCAACAGAAACCATGTCTGCACAAAATCTACCTTGCCAAACCCTAGAGACAAAAGAGAAAGTGCTCCCCACCCCTAAGAACTTGCTACTATTGTTAAAAACCTCTACAAATTATTAGGAAATTACTTTACCTTTAATCCATGTGCAGAAGTGTTCCGGAAGCTCCCCCATGCCAGACAGGTCTGCTTGGAAGTCCAGCTGGTCTCTGCTCATGACTCCAATGCAGAGAACACGGGTGTGGGCTGGCAATATCTGTGTCATTAGGGTCATACCTTCCACCTGTTGAGGCATTCTCAGCTGTGATGCAGCAGCTCCTGGTAGGAGGAGAAAGTAAAGAAGTGAACGGTATTTCTGTATTTGGTTCTTTTGCAGCTGTATTGTCAGCCTACACTGTTACCCTGGACAAACTTTCTTTGTGAAGGCTACTGTCACTTACAAAAGACTTCAGAAAAGGACTAAGTGAGCTAGCTTCCTTTGTAAAGACTAGCTATTGCCCTTGCATTCCATAGAGAACTCAGCAGACTTTTGCAAAGAACATTTCAGCCCAGTCTTTGGGCAGGGAGCACTGTTCTTGCTTTTGGCTTTATCAGTACCAAAGCAGGTCTAGAACCTCCTGCCCTTCCTGTGCTAGGACCAGTGAGCCATCCCTGGCCTTCAACACTTCTGGCTTAGAACAGCAAATCCTGGTTTTGCCTGCACTGCTGACAAGCCTTTGGGACCCGGAAAGGGAGCAGTGGGGGCCCAGCACAAGTGACCATACACTCCTGGTGCCGGTGGACAGCCTGCCAGTCACCCCAGCTGGAGGCTATGCTAACTCAGGCACTGCTCAAATTAGCAATGACCCCTGATAATGACCTGCTGCAGTGAGGGGGGTGCTGGGGACTACAGGCCGGTTTGCAGCAGCACGGGACTGGCAAGCCTGTGCAAGGACTGACAGCTGCCATGTTTGGCATCATGATGTGCCAGCTCCAGCACAGTCAACCCACCATGTGCTGGTGAAAAAGGAGGTCAGTGTCTCCACAGGACACAGCTGCATGCTGCACCAGGACAGGCCTGCTTCTGCTTTGACCTGTGCAAGTGTTTGTGTTCCTGTCTGAGAGTCATGAAGCAGTGAGTAGTCAGCACCACAAACCCTGGCACCGAGACCGACCTCACGTAACTGGACTTGAAGGGGTCTCCTAAAAAAGAGAGCAAGGTCCTTGCTGCCCTGTAGGCAGGTGGGACATGGCAGGAGGGAGACAGCACAGATGTTAGCCCTTTGCGAGCAGGCAGAGCAGAATGAGAATTGCTGCCAGTTGCAGAGGGACCCTGGCACCCAAATTCTACCAAAGGGCAACAGCAGCAGGGGCAAACATTTTCTCATGTCCCTGAATGATTTCAAAGCTGTGGGCTGGAGTCAGGAATTCAGATTTAAGTCACTTGAATGCTTTTCACCATGGATGTCTTGTTGAAGTTCCCTTGAAAAATCCTAAGCTATATCAATATTGTTTGTTTTTATATATAGCTGTACAATTACACACCTTAACAAATTGCAGGAAAATAAAACCATGCCAAACTGTAGTCATATTAAAAAAGCTACATGGAACTAAACAACTTCTGAGTGAATTAATGCAAAATCTGACTTCTAACAGTGACACAGTTCAGCAGAACCCGACGTAAGTACTGCAGTTTCTACTATGCTACTAGCAGTCCAGATTATATAAGATTGAAGTAAAACACAGAAGAGCGGCTACATATGAAGCTCATCTTGCTGAACTCATAATTAGTTAACAATATTTGTACAAATAAGCACAGAAAAAAATGTATTTAACTAGTCTCCACTGGTCTGCCAAGGGACAGGGACTTCAGTCCTCTGCAAGGCA